CTCCAACGTTTCTGTTCGTTGATCTTCAAGATGTTCTCGGCAATAAAGTTGTGGTTACGATTCCACATTACGAGTAACGCGGCTGATGCGGGAGGAAGGAAGACCAAGCGTCCCTCTGAAAAGGTATCTGGGTGCAAGAGCCCACGACCGTCCTTGGCACGAACGAGATCTTGCTCGGCCTGGTTAGATCCATACAGCGGCGAAAGGTCGAGGTATGACGAAGTATTGTTCTTGCCCCAGTCCGATGGATCCGTGCGGAACAACGAGTGGGTAACCAAAGAGGCAAACGCGAAGGTTAGGGATGAGTTACCTCCGGGGTGGAGATCCCGGGACTGGGTTTATATATTATATTAGTTAAAGAAGCGATAGGCGAAGGGGATATTCATACCCCAGTTGCTTTCAAAAGCTCATCAAAGACCATGGAAGGAGGCGGAAGGTACGTTGGTGGCTGAAGGTGGTGTCCTTGAACACTACGAGCGTATGCCGTACCAGCACGGCCCAGATCAGGCATGTTGACGTTGTTTCGGCCTCCATCAGCTCGACGGAAGCGATCTTCACCAACGTAGCTGCTCGGAGGATGGGGAAGTGTTTCATAGAGGAGCTTGACGAGGTAATCGTTCATCGACTGCTCTAGGTCGGAGCCCGCTGGTATTTTTGGCACGGTGGCGAAGATCTTGGTGAAAATCCCCGTACGATCTGAATATCATAGAAAGTTTAGTGGCCACACAAGAGAAGGAAAACGATAAAGCGGACCATTGATTGCGGTATCTTTTCCCACCATCTTCGCCAGAGTGTCCTTTAGGGACTTGGCGTCATCGAGCACGGGCACGAGTGCCATGATTATTTGGGGGTTTCAGTACTCAAATAGGGGAGGTAGTCGGAGAACAAGGAATACGCTAAAAATGCTCTGGGGTTGTGGAGGATGAAGTGGGCGCGAGGCGTTGGGGCGCTCTTTTATATCAGAACAGTCAACGACCAAGGTGAATCAGCCAATGGTCACACCGCCGAATCAAAGCGCAATTTGCACGACGTAGTTTGCCTTGCGGCTCTGAGCTTTCTAGCGCAAGCAGCTGGCCGATCCAACGCGGACGAAGACCTGATCGGTGCATTTGGGGCCCATATAATGGCACAGCCCTCTACGGGCATCCATTGCCTTTTTTTCAAGCTATCGTCGGGCGCAGCCGATGACCGCACTCCTCTCTCGTTCCAATTTTCACAAACGAAAGTGGAGCCCCGTCGAGCACATCTTCCTAGAATGGAGCATCGAATGGCCTTTTGTCAAGGAAATTAATTTTATGGCTGGAATCCACGTACAATAGGAAATAACCGCCACTATACAAGACCGACTGTGTGTTGCTTGCGATGAAAGCCAACGGAGACTAAAACACACGTCACAGGCGGAACGCCCATTCCGTATCCACTCTGGATCAGAGCGCCAAGTGGGGCAGTGCGCCGCTACACTGGGGTCGGGAAGGTTGACGAGTATGGCGAGGACTCTATCGAGGAACTGCCTTGCGAGGATTTGGGTAAAAGCGGCTGGATTAATCCAAAAGGTACAGGAACCAAGAATGGCAAACAAGATGCTATTTGTTCCAGTATGAATCCAACGCTTCGAAGTAAAGCGCCCGTTGCGCTCAAGTGATGGGACATCGGGGCGGC